CAATAGCCAAGCTATGGAAGTAACCCAACTGCCCATCAATAGACAAGTGGATAAAAAAGGACTGATTATATATATATATATATATATATATATATATATAGTTTATTAAAGAGGTAATATGCAAATTGACCATCACTCCAACACAAAAGATGTGCTTCCTGGACTTGTAAGTCTATTTCTTTCACCAGGTGGGGGAAGTTTTCGGCCATTATTTCTTCAAATAGGTTTTAAGTATCTTGCTCTCTCTCTTCTTCTGGCACCTCCATAATTCAAATGTTTGTATGCTTGAAGTTGTCCCAGAGACTTCTTATACTATCTTTTTATTTTTGGGTTCTTTTTTCTTTTTGCTTTTCTGGTTGGGTGTTTTTTGCTTCTTTGTATTTCAGATCTTTGACTTGATTCTTGGGATTCTCTAGTCTGCTATTGGATCTCTGTATGTTATTTTTTATTTCAGTCAGTGTATGCTTAATTTCTAGTTGGTCCTTTTTCATATCCTCGAGGTTCTCGCTAAATTTATTGGCCTTTTCTAGAAAATTCTTGAAAAACCTTATAACTGTGGTTTTGAACTCTATATCCAGTAGTTTTCCCCCCTCCATTTCTTTCGTTTGTGACCTGTTTCTTTATTTCTGTATTTTGGCTGCTTCCCTGTGTTGATAGAGTGGCTTTGTGTGCTAGGTATCCTATAGGGCCCAGTGGCTCAGCCTGCCCATTACTTGAGGTGGACATTCGGGGTGCACCCCTTTGTGGGCTGTGTGCACAGTCTTGTTGTAGTTAAGCCTTGATTATTATTAGTATCACTGGGAGAAATTGGCCTCCAGGCCAATTGGCTATGAGGATCAGCTGTGTCTACAGTGGGAGAACTGTGCTGGAGACAACCATATGGGGCAAGACTTGCTTCAGTGGGACTTTGGTGCTCATTGAATCTGCCCCGTGAGTGTGACTCTTATGGATGTGAAGAGTTGTTATCTAACCACAGGGCACACTGGTTCTCCAAGGAGGTGCAAAGTCAGCCACTGCCTGGGGCCACCCAGCAGGAGCTACAGAGAGATCTGCAGATTCCTCCTCTTTGTTTGGACTTTGGAGGTGCTCAGATGAGGCCCAGCTGTGAAGCAATACAAGCTGCTCTCCAGCCTTGGGCCTTCTTTTGGAGGCTCTGGGGCTCTCTGACCCAGCTGCAGTTCGTTTGGTTTTAGATTGCAAATGTCCAGGCCATTCATTTGCAAAAGCCTCTATGCACAGTTTGGGTGGAGTCATAAATTGGGTAGGGTGGTGTTTCAAGTAATCACCAGAGTGGATCAAACAGCAATGGTTGACTGTTAACCCTGCCCCAAAGAGTTCCCCAGGTCTCTGTGTCCTGCGGCACCATGCAACAACAATGATTGCTGCAAGCACCTCTGAGAGAAAGCCACCCTGTGTTCTGGCCTGATGCCAGATAGTACAATTTCTCTCGGTATGAGTCTGGGTCCTCAGAGTCTCTCCCAGAATTGGAGTACATAGCAGTCAGAAGCTTGTATCTCCCTCCCAGTTGAAAAAGACAACAGTGTGCCTAGTTGCCAGCCCTTTTCCTCAAGGGCCTCTGTACCTCTGTACTTAATTTCTGCACCTCCTCCCAGTCTCAGTGTTCTTTTCTCTTTCCTTCTAGTTGTATAAATTCCACTCAGCCAGCCTTCCCGTGGTTCTGGATGATATCTGTTTTGTCTTTTAGTTGAAGTTTTGAAATGGTGGTGCGAGACAGCAAGTTCAGGTGTTTTCCTATGCCATCTTGGTTCCTCGAATTATATCTTTGATATGATAGTTTAAAGTATATTATTAAAATTAATTTTGTGTTTTTACTTTAAAAAAATAAAATTATGTATGTGGCTTGCATTCTATTTCTATTGATCTGTACTGGAGGTAAGCAGGAGGCTGGTGTGTGCTCAGCTTAGGAGTCTGTGCTCTCTTTAAGGACAGTGGGCTCCCAGGTTGCAGTGGAGTGAAATGATGTGCTTTGCTCTGAAAATCACTGGCTAAGGCGTGGAGAATGAACTAGAAGAACAGATCAGAAATCAGGAGCTGTCGCAGGAGAGTGGAAAGAGGAGGCCAAATTTGAGGACTTGCATGAACTAGGTCTGACAACTAGTTGGATATGAGCTCTGAGGGAGAGGGAGGACTTGTGGGTGTCCAGCCTAGACAAATGAGTGGATCAGGGTGCAAGCCTATACTCAATGAAGGAAAAAGTGAAGTGTCCCCAACTAGAGTGTAACCTGGGTGAAGGACTCAGACCACGGGTTCAGTAAATATTTGTTGAAGAATGTTTTTTAAAAATCAGACTAAAATGTGTGGTTCAGGAAATGTGTCAGGGATTGTGCCTAGAAGGGGAGAGGTAAATGATTAGCTAATGCTACATAGTGGGAGATAGAACTTGAAAACTAGGAGGACAAGCCCCCTGAGGGGCTACCATGAACAATTGCAAGGGATCCCATTGCTCATTCTCACAAAATGCATCCCTTGCCTGGAATGGAGACATCCTCTTCAGTTTTCTTAGCCCCTTTGCTGATTTTCATGAGGAGGAAAAGGTGGGGTGATGATGCTGAAAAAAGAGGAGGGAGAAAGGTGTGGTGTGAGAGGTGGATGTGGGAATGTGTTTATAATAAGGCATATACTGAGGACACCTGATTGCTGGTACTGTACCCATAAATGGACCCATCAGCCATACTCAAATGTAGACAAACATTTCATTTACTTCAATAATTTGAAACTGAGCCACCAGGAAATATAGGTTTTACCTCATTTTCTTATGCTTGGGAAAAGTGATTTAGTAAAAAACTAAACAACAATAAGAAAAAAAACCTTGAATGGAGATTGGGAGATTGGAATTGTCACTACCTTTGTGAATACAGTCAAATCACAGAATCTTTCTGCATCTATTTTCTCATCTATCAAAATAGCAGAAATAACACCTATCAGTCTTGTTTATTTCAGAGTTAGTAGTATCGAATGAGGAACTGGCAGTGAAAAGCTTTAGTAAGTTAGAAGCCCATACTGAGGTTAGAAGATGTATATACAATGAACCCATATAAAAGTGTTTTGTCTTGAACAAACCTGAATTACATAGAAATCAGTAGGCATGAGCGTGAGACAAAAGTGGGTCTCTCCTGCCCCTCTGTGGACAGATCCAACCATCCCAAAGGGTAGCCTGGTCCCTCATCATTCTTTGCTTCCAAGAACTCATTGAATGAAGATTGGTTATGATAAATAGGGAGATGGCTGAGCCAGTGGGGTCAGTGCAGTAGACTCCAGTAGCCCAGTAATCTTACAGGTATATCATGAAAGAGTCAGGGGTGTTGTTAAAAAAAATCCACAGTGCTCCCCTTCATATTCATATTGGCTATACTCAAAACTTATAATCTCTGGTTATTTCTATTCTGTTGATTATTTCTATTCTGTTACATTCATTTGTGAGACGAACATGATAACCACTACACTAGAGAAACAAGACTCATTAATTCATTTGTTCATTGGTTCATTGATTTATTCATTCGGCCTGTATCCAAGCATTCAAACTCTCCCCACCCCTCATCCTTCAGAGCTTACCCAAATTCTATCTATTTCAGGAAACCTCCTTTGTCCACCCCAACACAGCACCTTTATCAATCCCTCTAATTTCTTGAAACACATTTTGCTTTTTCATGTGCTTGTGCTATCATGTGTCTTGATTCCTTTATGAACATAGACTCCATGTCCTAAACATCTGTGTTTCCCTACACTGCTAGCACAGCACCATATAAACAAGCAGGTGCTCAGGAAATAAGAACTGAGTGAATGAACATATTGGGTGGATGGATGAGTGGGTAGCCCTGGATTAGGCATTTATTTTCCATATTTTCTGAGCTGGATAGAGAAGGGAGTGTGGTAAGTCCGGTTCTAGGTCTAGCCATGGAGGTTGGTGGGGTGGGAGAGGCAATGGGAAGACAAAAACAGTTACTGGGGGCAGCCACAGGTGACCCTGCTGCCTGAAGATGGCACTAGAGGCCAGTTAGGAGTAGCTACTCACTCATCTGTAGTAAACACCTATTGTGTACAAGATACAGTTCAAGGGAACAGAGATGGCTGCATCATAAGTTCATTGCATGACCAAAAAATATATGTGAAAATTTAAACAGTGATTTAAAAAAAAGTTAAAATGACAGTAAATGCAAAATGGCAAGCTAGGGGTCCAGCTAGTACTCACCGCGGGCTTAAAGAGCCTTCAACTTGATTTTCTAGGGCTGGTTCCCAGCGGGCTGCCCTGCAGCTTCACCAGGACACTAGCACTTATTTGTCTACAGAGCCAGATTTTGGTACCACAAAATGTGCTCACTGTTGTTTTAAAGCTTTGGAGGAGAGATGTAGCAGAATGAGCTGAAGTGAGGACAAGGTGGATGGGGCCATTTGGGAAAGTTTTATATCTGAAAATTTGGGCATACAGAGAGACAGAGAAGGCATGAACAAGGGAATAGGCGTGGAATAGATTCGGTATATTAGAAGACAGTTCATTCATTAATTTATCAAATGTTTATTGAATGCTGGCAGAGTTTTTGTGCTGGACACACATGGTAAGTGCAATAGGCAGTCTATCTTCAAGATGCTAGTGGGGCAGTAGATTTATTTGCATGTTTGCTAACATACATATAACACAAATAACACATACAAATAACACAAAGCGGGGAGAGTGCTTTGAAGGAAAAGAATAGAAGTCTATAAAAGAGAATTAGATGGGCACCCCATAATGAAGGTTTCAAATTGGGTAAAAAGGATGGCACATTTGAGGGACCTGAAGACAGGTGGTGTTCCTGGACTATCGTGAGTGGACACATCTGACTGGGAATGGTGTATGCAGGCTGAAGCCAGGCTGTGGAAGGCCAGGTTATTTCTACTGAATTTCTGTGTTCCAACCCGTGGGCTTCCTGGAGAGAGAGGGAAATAGGAAGAAAGAGTAATGGTCATTCCAAACATCTTCTGACTACTGTCCCTGTTTGCAGCCAGGTGATGGGGCAGTTGCGATGGATGAGCTACAGGATAACAAGAAGCTGAAGGTGGGTGCCATGTAGAGTCTGCCCGGTGAGGACACTGCCGGGTCTTAAAGGACAGACTCAGGGCACAGTGGCCCTGATGCTGAGGATCTTGGGCGGGGCTCAGGCCTGGGAACCTCCTGGGGGTGTTGCCAGGCTGAGCCTGGGAAGGAGCGAGGGACTCTTGGCCCCAGGTGACCTTGGAGAAGGTGCTGGTTTGGGAGCTGGATGTCACTGCTTGCTTTGCCACTAGCTCGCTGTGTGAGCTTGGGCCTCGGATTCTGTATCTGTAAATGACTGGACTAGAGGAACTCAAGTCTAACTTTATAGCCCCCATCATGCCATGATTAATCAAAAGCCTAATTACCTGTGGCTTTGGAATGCCCAGGACTAAGAGAACCATCAGAGGGCACTGGGGCAGGACAGTCTGAGGTTTGTGAAAAAATGTCTTAGCTGCCTTTGGGCTATGGGGTATTTGGGAAGAAGTATGGGGACCTTAGAAAGGAGTGGCTAGGCCTAAATGAAATCTCCCCATCTAAAGAAAATCCCCAGGGCAGTTGTAAAGTACTGTGTTACCACAGCCACTAGATGGCAGAAGAGTTCAAGGCCAGAGGGATGGGGAAGGTGAAAGGGGGGGTGGTGGTGGTTATGGAGGTGTGGGGTGTGGAGAGGGATGGGACAGAGACTGAGCAAGTTGTTTGTCTGTTTTTGGATGCTCCCTTGTAAATCTGTATGTGCCACATCTGTGTCTGCAGCTATAGATGTGAGGATGTGTGCGTGCCTGTGAATGTTCTTGAGCACGTGGGTAGAAAAAAAAAATCTGGATTGGGGATCAGAAGACCTGGGCGCTAGTCTTAACTCTTTCATTTACACCCCACATGAACGTGTTGAGTTTTCACTTCCTTTTCTGTAGAAGGGACCCCAGTTTCCTTATCTCTGGGAGTGGGGCGGTGGTAAAGCACCATGATGAGGTTCGTGGACTGCGAAGGGCTGTTCCCATGTGCAGGGTCTGCTGTGTGGTGTGTGGGCGAGTGTGTGCCTCCGTGGGGTGCACTTGGGGAGATGGAAACACCCTGGCAATGTGGTGTCCTCAGGGCACATTGTCTGCCGCTCCCTTTTGAGACCGTAGGGAGTTACTCGGTCTGTAGAATTAAAGTCGTGGAGGAGTTGAGGGAGGCTGAGAAGAAAGTAGTGAAACTCCTGGTTAACGTGAAGGACAAGGTGAGGCCAGGAAAACACTCCTGTGCTTTCCCTCGATCTCTCTGGGAGGGAGGCAGTGTTCAGTGGGGCCCTTGGGTGGCTTCCCACCTGGCTTGGGCAGGGGCCCACTGAGGCCTGTGCTGCTCTCTCCTGCTCAGCTCCCGTCCGTGCTGACCCGAGGGAGCAGCTCAGCCTCTCTGCACAACAGCACCATCCGCAGCACCATGTACCGGCTCATGCTCCACAGCCTGGACCCTCTGGGGCAAGGTAAGCAAGGCCTCCCCAGACCTGCGTGGGCTCCCGTCCACGCCTTCCCTCCTGCAGCTGGACAACTACTGGGACCCGCAGAATGGAGGCAGTGGGTGGGGTGAGGGCAGGAGTGGGAAGAGAGAGTTAGCAGAGGAAAGTGGGTGGCAGTCAGTATGGGAGACAGGAGAGAGTCGAAGACGCAGAACTCACGGGAGAGGAGAGGGCCCCATTTCCCTGCCTCCCGTCTTCTCTTGAAAAATGAGGAGGTTCAGCTGCAGACAGTACGGCCATGAGGCAGTGTGCCCTGTGGAGGTTATACTAGGGCTGCCCTCAGTATCTTCTCTGCGCAGCCCACCAGAGTCTCCTGCCAGGCAGCTTGGCTCAGGCTGACTGGCCAGGGTCGCTTCAGGGGGACGCTCCTGTAGGTGCTAGAAACTGGTGTCCTAGGAAGACTGCCACCCCTCCCCCCTCATCCAGGAATCCAAAGGACATCCTGGGAGCTGCCAGGACCATTTCTGGGGGTGGTGAGGGTCCAAAGTGCAGTGGGAGCTGATGTCCAACTTGATAGATGATTTGGCAGCTGAGATTCTCACCATCCTTCTTACCAGTTCCTGCCTTCTGGCCTCCCTCTCCAAAGAGCTGCCCCTCACACGCTTCTCAGGCCTCCACAGGCACCCCTCAGGTATGCACCTGCTCTCCTTAAGCCCCTCTATCTTTGGGGCTCAGGAGCCCAGGCAAGAGGCCATCAAGGGAAGATTGGGTCTTGGACAGAAGCCACGGGGTTGTGGTTGCAGTTGGGCAGGAGGGCTGAGGCCTGAACTGTATATGACACTAGAGACTGACCCTTGAGCCCCAGGGAGCACCCTGACTGAGATTTCTGGTTTTGGGGCACATTTAGGACTCAGAATTTCCTCAGGCCCTTAAGTTTCTTCTTCAGAGACAATATTGGGATTTGGGGAATGTTGTACTGTGGCAGCAGAGCCAAAGACAAGGTGATCAAACCTTCCTTTCCAAATCCTCGAGGTGAGCCCTGGCAGACACTGAGCAAGATCTCCCACAGCACCAGCTCCAGAAGCAGTCCCGCTGGGGTTCTGAGAGCGAGTCTGCAGCCCCTGGCAGCCTGTGTGCTATCCATGCGGCTGTGTCATGAAGGAAGCTGTGTCTCTGGGCCATGCTGGGCCACTCCTCTGGGAGTTACTGACTCTCCCAATGTCTTAAAGATCAAGACTTCTCCATGGGCCACAGGGCCCCCTGCCTGGGCCATTCCCACCACTAACGGCCGCCAGCTGGCCTGCTTGTCCTGACAGGATTATGAGATGTCCAGGCCAGGCAGAGGTCAGAGGAGATTGATACTAAGGAGATGATCCTCCGTGCTGAGCTGAGAGGCCACGTGAGGAAACCAGCCCTGGGGGAGCCCGAAACCATCATCCTAGGGAAGACAGTCCTGCGTGGTCCGCCGTGTGCCTGTGCCCTCACTCTGAGTGGTTGCTGGCATCATTCACTGGAGTACAGTCCTGCCCATGGAAGCCAGCCCTGATTCTACACCAGGAGATTCCACTCAGGAGGGGCTGTGACCACACAGGACTGTAATGAAGGCCTTTGTTCCCAAGACTTTCCAGATACATGTTTGTATTTCCATGTACTGTTTCCCATGGCTGTCCAGATGTTTCCACTTTGTCAGGTGTTCCAGCTCTTCCACAGAACTGGTCTGAACTCTCACCCGGTGAGAGGATCCAATGATCCCCATGCCTCTTCTGTGTGTGTGTGTGTGTGTGTGTGTGTGTGTGTGTGTGTGTGAGAGAGAGAGAGAGAGAGAGAGAGAGAGAGAAAGAGAGAGAGACCCCCATAGCTGTCCTGCTTTTCTTGGGGGCATGAGGGTAGGGTGTGTGAGGAGGGATGAAAAGGAACGAGGGGGACTTGTTTTTTTTGCCAGCCCCCCAGCTAACAGTTGGCAGATATTCTCAGTGCCAGGACTGGAACCAAGGGAGCCCTCTGTGACAACAGAAGATGCTAATGCTTGACTCCTGCCAAGGAGACGCTGGGTTTGTTTGGATGAAGGAGGCAGTGGAGTTTCCGCGTCCTGACATCTCAGTTCTGACAAGGGCCTCCTGGGCAGGCCCACCAGGAAACTTCAAGGGACCACACATGCTAGAGCAGTGGAACCCGTTGCCAGAGGGGGCTGCAGCTGAACCTACTGTGAGAATGTAAGAGAGGCTGAGAGGAGGAAATTCCAGACCTGTTAATGTTTCCTGCCCATCAAGGCTGAGCTTGATCCACCCAGTTTTCCAGATCGCACCTGCCCAAGCCCTCTGGAACATGGTGCCCCATGGCTGCAGACTCAGTGGGACAGCTGCTCTCAACTCCGGTGTCAGTTCATCATTATCGTCATAGCTAAACCTGCTGCAGTGCTTTCTAGGTGACAGGTACTATTTTAGCAAGTTGATGTATCAATCAATTTATTCCTTCAACAAGTCTATCAGATTTTACAGATGAAGAATCTGAAGGACAGAGAGGTTAAGGAATCACTCAGCTTGGTCCATGGCTAGCAAGTGGAAGAAGTGGGATTCAAATCGAGGTTATCTAGTTTCAGAATCTGAGCTAAAATAATAATATTTAATTGCAGCAATTACAGTATTTTTATTTATTTTGTCTCGTGGATACTCACATCACATATACCATGGTGTTGCCTTTTTAGAGTGGGGATGCTGAGGCTTAGAGAGGATACAAAGACTTTCCAAGGTCACCCAGAGTTCACAGGGCAGAGCCAGTGCGGGATTCAGAATAGACTCCAGGGCACCACTTTGTTCTGTCATGTGTATCATTATCCTCACCTTCCCACGCTACACAGCTGTGAGGGGGACCGTCATGGCCCATGCACCACAGTCTCTCTCTGTGCCTCCCACCTGAAATGACACATGGAAAGCACTTGGCATGTTTCCTGGATCACAGTTGCCCTCTCCATTTTTCTTGCCTGGAAACCAGGGCAGCGGCATTCTGAGCACAGTGCTCTGAGCGTCTCCAGCGAAGCATGTGCACAGGGACCTGAAGGGGGCCCTGTTTGGGTTCCAGGTGTCTGGGGTCAAAAAAGGGTGTGGCAAGGAGCTTGATGAGCAGCTACTTCCCCCCTGCCACTGAGAGGGAAGGCTCAGGACTATGGCTACCAGAAGTTATAGCAAAGCTTTTAGTAGATTTATAGAAAGTAAGCTGTAAAAGTCCTTACACATTATCTAGTCCAATGATGGCAGAAACATTTCTCTGTCATTACTTGTCCATCCCCCGCCCAGTGCAGCACCCCTGATAATCCTGGCACTCTCCCTCCAGACCTGGATGAGGATTCTCCTCAATTCAGCACTCAGGCAGCCATCCCTTGGGCTCACAAAGGAATTACATCTGATTTGTTGTCCCCAACACTAGCCATGTGACTTTACTAGTGACTTGCTCAAGGTCACAGCCAGTTAGTGATAGTGCAGGGAAAGGAAGACAAAGGTTGGGAACTCGTAGGACTAGAATCCAGACATCATAACTCCCAGACTAGCCTTTGCCCATGTACTTGAGCTGCTCTGGCTGCTAGCCCACCACCCACCAGGCTAACTGAAGGGTGTGGCGGGGATACTTGGTTCTAGATATGCTTCCTTTTTCATTTGCAGTACCCTCCGCCAAGAGCAGTGACGAGGAGAGCTTGATTCAGGAGGCCAAATCCAAGCCTCAGGCCAAAGCAGAGAGCAAACCAGAAGGTGAGAGGATGGTGAGACCAGCAGGTTTTCTCCTGCACCTTTCTCCCTCCTATCTGACAGGGCTGAGGTATGGCTCTTGGCCTCTCTGAGCCAGTCCGCTGGAGTGGTGACCTGGTGCTGCCTGCACTTGGCTGTAGTCCAGGGTCCCTCTTCCCCAGGCAGTCCTGTACCGTTCCCCCTGTACTCTCCTTATGTGGGGTAGGCAAGGCCAAGCTGAAGGTTGTTGAACTCCTACTTCTGTTTTTGCTAAATCTTGTCCTAAATTAGACTATATTGGACTCTAGTTCTTCCTGACACTTCTATACAAGGATAGTTCTGCTAGGGATTGGTTTGAGACCAGCAACCCCAGTGAGGAAAGGCCACCAGGGGTCTGGTGACACAGAAATCCAGCATCTGTGTGGCAGCTGGGACAGGGAGTGTGAGACAGCTACTGCCCTGTGTGCTCTACACTGCACACCAGGACTACCTGTTGTATCAGTAACCCTTGGAGGGAGGTAGAGCACCAGTGGTCATTCCCATTCTATAGACGCCATCTTATAGACAACGGAGGCTCAAAGAGGTCAGGTGACTTTCCCAAAGCCACACAGCCAAGAAGTGAAAGAGCCTGTACCTGCACCCAGCTCCCAGACTTGTCAGTGCTTCCTAGCTGCTGTCTTTGAAACCATTAGGATCCTCTCCAGGCAGCTGGTAGGGGGAAAGGTCAGACCCTTAAAGCTGGGGCTTTACCCTCTCTCTGTTCCAGTTGCCTATACTGGCCAGGATGGAAATGTCTGCGAATACAGAGGGAGCAAGGATTGCCATTTCCCAGCTGTCCTCTCATCTGTACACATCTCTGTGGAAAGGACAGTAACAGTTCACATCACATCATTTTACTGTTTTCTATCAACAAGAAATTCCCCTTCTGAGATAAGGAAGTGGACAAGTCCAATAGCCCAGTAGCCACTCACATCAGTCTCTATTAGCTGCCCTCCACACCCTGGCACTCTTCTGACCTTTCCCATGTTTATCCTTTAAAGAGGAGGAGCCAACCATGCTCCCTGCGGTCAAGGTCACAGCAGCCCCTGCTCCAGACGTCAAGGGAGATCAGGAGAAGGATCCTGGCGGTCAGGTAGGCACAAGCCTCTTCCCAGGTAGAGGAGTGAGAGACCCAGGGAAGGACTTGACCAAAAAAGTCTTCCTTCTTGAAGGTCTGAGGTTCACTCCTCCGGGGTAAGCATTGCGAAGACGAGATTCTTCCCGGGGCCAGTTAATGCACCATCCCACCTGAGTGTGAGTCAGAGAACATATATGAGAATGTGCTGCCAACTGTCACATGCTGTAAAAACATAAGAAATAACTGTTAGGGGTCTCTCAGCAACTCGGGGACGGTGAGACCAGTCAGCTCGAAATGCCAGGAGGAGGGTGCTGGCTAAAGGCCTTGGAACCTTCCAAGGCATCTTGGCCTTGTCCTGTGGACTTCCTGAGTCCTGATACTGCTGTCTTTACAGCTTCAGCTCTCCTATCTGCTACAGCCAAACTGGACTTCTTGTCTCCATGCTTTCCTACCTGGGCCCAGATGGGTTCCTTCCCAGGAACGCCTTTTCCTTCTTCTTCAGATACCCTAACCTGCCTCCTGGCACATGCACATGCCTCCTTTGCCACAAGGCTTCCCCATCCATCCAGTCTGAATGCCTATGGTACATTGTTCCTCTCCCAGGACTCTTATCACTGTCTTCCTTATACTCTCTCTTGGTTCCCCTGCTAGGTGGTGAGGTTCCTGAAGGCAGGATCCAATTCTGAGTTATCTCTGTTTCCCCCACAAGAGAAACTCAGAAAACAATAAGGGTCGAGAGACTGGCAATAAAGTAACAATCAGTTTTCAGGTTCCATCGCTGTGCGTGTTTTTTTTTAAACTTGACACTCAAAAGCACTCAAATATACCTCATCCTTAAGCCAGCAATTTGAGTTGTGTCTAAGACATCATCACGGTATCATGAGTCTCCCGAGTAGGTCCCAGACAGCCAGCTCAGTTAAAAGTGATTAAGAGGAACCCCAGGGCAGGGAGTGAAGCTTGGTGTCTCCAGGCCTGAGAAGGATCTGTGACCCTGGAGGCTTCTCACTCCATGTCTGGCTCTCCCTCACATGCCCTCCTCTGTGTGCATGCTTTCCTAATAGCTCGACTCCATTTGCTTCCTTATTAGCTCACACAGCCCTAAACTACTACCCTAGTTCTCCAGTCTACAGGGGGATTGATGAATGATTGGCTCCTAGTCACAGAAGAGAGAAAATTCGTTTGAACCAGGTCATGGGGCAGGAATCCAGTGTCCAATCAGCTGTGGCAGGAAAGGTGGGGTGCTTTGACTTCAACAAGGAAGAAGGGATATTAGGGGTGGCGGTTTTTAGAGAAGAGAGTACAGGCTGGCAGACACTTCCATACCTATGGACTTAAATGACTTGTCGTCTTCTCCAAGAAACCTCTTCGGAATGGGCTGCGAGGGAGGCAGGAATGACTTCAGACTAAAATCTCATGCTTCATTCCCAATTCAAAGCAAAGCCTTGCATAGTCTAATATTTGACTTCATCAGAGGTTCCTAACCCTGGTTGCATAATAGAGTAATTTGGGGAAGCTTAAAAAAAAATGCCCAGGCCCTCCAAAATACCCAGGCCCCATCCTCAATAATTAAGCCAGAATATCTGGGTTGGGCATGAAAGTTTTAAAAGTCTCCAGGTGACTTTCACATGCAGCAGAGTTTGAGACTCCCTAAGTATCCCTTGGGGGGTGGCTATGTCATGAAATTTGTTATAGAAAACAAACTCCACGAGCATACAGTCCAGGCCATTTGTTTGTTTGGGTCAGCATGTTGTTATAGTTAGTTGGGAGCCTACTCTGAGGACCCTCAGAATCAATGGCTTGAGAGTGCATGGAATCAGCCCATGGTTCCCAAACACTGGTGTGCAGGTGGGCTTGTGGGGAGCACTAGAAAGCACATTAAAATAGATCCGTGGCTTCCAGTCCCAAATATCCAGGTGGGGCAAGGAAATTTTTAAAATTGATTTTTAAAGAGAGAAGAAGGGAAAGGAAGAGGGAAACAACAATTTGAAAGCAAAACATTGATTCTTCCTGGGATTGAGCTTCCAACCCAGACATGTACCCTGACCGGGAATCTTAACGGGAACCTTTTGGTGCATGGGACAACACAACCACCTGAGCCATGCCAGCCAGGGCAGAAATATGTATTTCTAATAAGCTTTTTACACTATAATGTTTGGGAACCAAAGATCTCATTTGGCCCTGGTATTTGTGATACAGGGTAGGTTGGTGGTCAAGAAGCCAAGAATTAAACTATCCATATTCAAATCTCAACTTTATCATGAACTGTGTGGACCATGGGCAAGTTTTTTAACTACTCTGTACTAGTTTTTCCATCCATCAGATGAATTAATTCTATTTATATCACTAATTAATTGCTCATGAAACAGTAATTGCTAGCTATTATTATTATTATTATTATTATTATTATTATTAATTATATCACTTATCAGGGTGCCTGGGACTTGAAAGCCATCAATAAGTAGGTATTATCATCATATGATGTAATATAATAGTTTAGGAGTTTAGAGGACACAGCAATGTTATATAATCACTAAAAGATATCATGCAATATTAATGGAAACATAATATCTGAGACAAGGAAAGCGATAATTCTATTAAACTCTGTGCAGTGTTCTGTGTTCAGGTTTAGATACCTCCTCACAGGATGTAAGCTAATTAGAATGAGTTCACTAAGCTGGGGATGAGGTTCTAGGCCATTATGGGGGGATGACAGAAGGACTTGGGTATCTCTAATGGAGTGAAGAGAGCTGTCTTGTGGAAGAGTGATTAGCTTTGTTCTATGCATCTCCAAAGAGTAAACCTACACAGAGGGTAGCTCCTTGGTATAAATATGAACTTCAAACCAAGCAGAGTTGCCAAAGATGACAGGAGCTTCTTCTGGTGAGTTTTCCTTCCCTGGAAATGCTAAGATAAAGATTACACAACTACTGGGTAGGAATGTTATGAAGGGGAATTTTGCTGAGTAATCGCACTGGGTTTTCCTCATACCAGAGTTTTTAGTTATATTACACGAGAACAACAACAAAAATAATAGGGACAAACTGGGAAAGAAAACAAGCAGAGAAGTTACGTTAATCGGTTGGCTTTGGATTGCAGGAAGGAGATGTGGCTGAAGCTGAGAGCACAGGTGTAATGACAGGCAAAGAGGTTGAAGCTCCTGGTGAAGGTGAAAATGAAGGTGAAACTCAGCTAGAAGGTGAAGGTGAAACTGAAGCAGAAGGGAAAGGAGACAATGAAGGTGAAGGTGAAATCCAAGCAGAAAGAAAAAGAAATGATGAAAGTGAAGGTGAACTCCAAACGGGAGATGCTGGTGAAGTGAAAGGAGACACTGAGGAGCAGGGATTCAATGCTGGAAGTCAAGGTGAAACCAGTAGTGATGAGAAAGGTACAGATGGCGAGGGGGGAGGTGATGGAGGTGATGGTGAACATGAAGAGAACAAGAGAAAAGTCCAAGCAGGGATTAAAGAAAATGATGAAGGTGAAGGTGAACTCCCAGCAGAAGGAGAAGATGGCAAAATGAAAGGTGATGGTGAAACCAAAGAGCAGGACTTCAATGTTGAAAGTCAAGGTGAAGCCAAAAGTGATGAGAAAGGTAGAAATAGTGGAGGAGGAGGTGATGGAGGTGACAGTGAAGAGGAAGAGGAAGAGGAAGAGGAAGAGGAAGAAGAGGAGGAGGAGGAGGAGGAAGAGGAAGAAAACGAGGAGCCTTTGTCCCTGGAGTGGCCTGAGACCTGGCAGAAGCAGGCTATTTACCTCTTCTTCCTGCCCATTGTGCTCCCGCTGTGGCTGACGGTGCCCGATGTCCGGAGGCTGGTGAGTTTGCCCAGCCATACCCTTGGCTGTCTATCTTCAGAGAGGCTGTGGGTCTCTAGGCATTCCACCCAAGAGGAGAGGGAGGACAGGGTCAACCAGCTTGGCAGAGCTCAACCACAGAGGGGATTTGGGTTGGAATTTGCAGCTCTGGAGGGGACCATGCACCTAGGGGGATATACCATGGCTTGTGAGGCCCTGGAACGTGCTAATTTCTACTACTATAAGCAATGTGAACTAGTCCCTCCTCGACTCCTGTTTCAGTACACTGATTTTAATATAGGAATGATGCCACCACATCCCTCCATATTTCATAGGGTTACCGTGATTAAGTGCCATTTCTTTCCAGCATTCCTATTTATAGGGAAAAATCTGACTAGCATACCCCACGCTAAGGCTATCCATATTCTATCTCTGGGTCTGGAGATGGGTAGGGCAGAGAGAGGTTGCAAAAGCCAAATCAAATACCTAGATTGGCTTGGTTCTGGGTCAAGCAAATAGCTCTTCAGTTTGGAGACTACTGAATACCCTATGACTGAGCTCCCCTAAGGGCCATCGATCCCATCCTTTCCCTGCTAAGTCAGGGTCCTCATTGGAAACAGATTTCATCTCTAGATCCTCTCCATCAAACCTCCTGCAGATCTCGTCACTGATTCTGGGGCTCTCTCAAAAGGGCCAAAGACCTTTAGCCTCTGAAACTCACATCTCTTTCTTTTCATACTTTCACATAGGAGTCCAGAAAGTTCTTTGTTTTCACCTTCCTGGGATCTATCATGTGGATAGCCATGTATTCATACCTTATGGTGTGGTGGGCTCACCAGGTGAGTAAAAAGCAGGAACTAAATCCTGTATCCGCAAGTTCAAAGGCCACTTTTTCCCTTCTGGGTGAACTTCCAGTGCTTAGGGAATGGTGAGGACCAAGTAAGTGCATTTGTAGTTTCTACATTGTTTGTAATGGCAGCCTTTTTATTCCAGTGAATGTAGTACTTTCCAAGTGTGGCTTTCACATGCAGCATGGCCTCAAAGGCCCTTCACAATCTGGGCAAAGCCCTCTTCCCTGCTTCCTCTGCCATGCATCTCCCACTCTTCCCACCTGGTGAATTGTACACACTCGTGAGAGCAAGCACAGTTTTGCCCTGTCTCTGGCATTTTAATCCTCTAGTGCCTATGGCTTTTCTGTTCTACCTGGAATATTGCACCAGCACAGAGCCGTAATCATTGTTGATGATTTTCCCCCCTTCACTAGGTTGAGACTAGGGTTAGGGTTGCACTGCTCATACTCTTCTCTGCAGCTCTCCGTTCCTGGCACATGGCAGGTGTCCATGGTTCTGGAAGTGGAGATGCCACATGAACAGATCTTGGGAGGGCAGTTCTTTTAGAAGTAGAGGTTCTGTTGTTTGAATATCAACGGCAGGTGGTATTATCGATAGACTTTTAGTCCATCTTGGATAAGAGCAGAGTCATTCTCTGAAGCCTTGAGCAGGGGCCCCGTCTCTCCAGCTGTCAGTTCGCCTTGACCCTGCCTTACTCAGACCGTGGGAGTGTGCTGAGCTCCATGGGAGGTGTTGGGTTTGCACAAAGTAGTATGTGGAACAGCCTCAGATTTTCCAATTGCTGTTGCCGTGGTTTTTATTACTGTTACTGTTTACCAGGTTGGTGAAACAATAGGGATTTCTGAAGAGATTATGGGTTTGACGATCCTGGCAGCAGGCACATCAATTCCTGACCTCATCACCAGTGTGATTGTTGCCCGGAAAGGCCTGGGAGACATGGCCGTGTCAAGCTCTGTGGGCAGTAACATATTTGACATCACCGTGGGGTGAGTGGCAAAGGTGCTTTTTAAGGAATATTAAGTAAGACTGGAAAAGCTCGTGTTGGCTCTGTTCACTGGTTTTCTGCTTCATTCATTATACATGGCATAAATGGGCATTTATAGTATTAGTTTCTATAAGGCAACAAAGTATTCTCCCATCATTAATCACAGACAGATGAGATAATAGAACTAAAATGCTGCCTGCAATGTAACTTACTGGGATTTACAGATGAGTTGAAAAATGAAGTCCATTAAATTCCATTACTAAATACCGTCAGATGCTCTGCTCAATGACCTGCAAGGTGGTGGAGGTGGGGTTGGGACAATGACTCAGCCTCACTTCCTGATGTTCTTGTTCCTTTGCATTTGGGTTCCTGCCAGCTCTGAAAGCATTTTGTATAAACAAGCAAATGCTGCATCCTGCTGCACCCATGCCCTTACCTGGCCCATTTTCATTTCCCTTGTCATGTCCTGGACTTGAGTGGTGGCTTTGGTTTCGTTAATTTGAATTTGTGTGTATAGGTGGGGCTGGGAAAGGGTATAGGAGAGCCCTGACCCCTAAGTAATTTGAAGGAATGCTATCCTGAGCTGGGCCTTATCATAAAAATTGAGAGATTAGAGTCAAACATCAACACATCTGGTTAGTCATACAGAAGTCATTTAGTATGAAGAAAAAAACCTTCAGACCTAAAAAAGTTCACTTTTAATCCAGGCTCTCCCAGTTATTAGCTGTGAGCCCAAGGGCATGTAATTGAACTTTCCTGAACCTTGGTATTCTCTTCTGTGAAACAGAATCAATATTTTCTGCTCTATTTCATAGATTGTGTGTGTGTGTGTGTGTGTGTGTGTGTGTGTGTAAAAAAAATGAGTGCTTTGTAAATTATAAAATACAGTTTAAGTATATGGGATGATTACAAACATGAAAAATACTCATTGTTTCTTTGATCTCACAGCCTGCCTGTTCCCTGGTTGCTTTTCTCTCTTATCAATGGACTGCAGCCTGTTCCAGTCAGCAGCAATGGCTTGTTCTGTGCCATCGTCCTGCTTTTGCTCATGCTCCTGTTTGTGATCTCTTCAATTGCATCGTGCAAATGGAGAATGAACAAGATCCTGGGCTTCACAATGTTCCTTCTTTACTTTGTATTCCTGATAATCAGTGTGATGTTAGAAGATCGAATCATATCCTGTCCTGTATCTGTCTGATTCAGTCACTGTTGCTCAAAGTGGACATGGGTCAGAAAACCATGTCAGAAGTTACTGTACCTCTTGGTACACTGATGAATGAACATGATCCAGGAGAGGGAACTGAGAGGCCGAGAGCATCTGATGTCAATGTGATAGAGTGAAGGTTATCGTTGGAAACACCTGTAGCTCTTTGTGGATTAAGACTCTCACTTCTGGGGACGGGGAGTATACGGAGTTCCAACCCTTATTGGCTCAGACAACGGTCACATAGACTCCAGTAAAAGGACTCCTGGAGTCAGAGGGTTTTCTACATGAGATAACTGGCACAATAAGACAAGCCATCAAGCTCACATATTCTGATTATTAAAGGGCTGCCTAAATTATTTAATCCAAAAGATGCAGATGTGGTCTCTACCTGAGCCTCCTGGCTCCTGCCCCAAGCACATGTTGCACTTCACTGTCTCCTCTTTTTTCTGTTCAAAACAAGAGGTTCAAAACCAGGTTTGTAATCACCACTGGTTCAGTTACTGGTGAGTGTAAGAGCTAAGGCTATAGGAAAAAGTGAAATATACAGGAATCAATTATCATTAGTAAGATGTGTACCAATACACATAGCTTAAAATGATAACATTAGCTCTTATTGCATTTCTGAAAAGTGAAATTAAAGTAATCCAAGAAATTAAAATTTATAATTTGCCCTTGAATTGGAGGCCTGAATATTAGAGAAGGAAAACTACTGTAAGGGCTATTTAAAAATATGTACTTATTAGAAAATCCAAGTTAGTGAGTCTCCATCAAGTGGTCTCCTTGAGGGATTAGACATATAACACAGTGGTTGTCCTGGCTCTGCCTCTCCAGCATATTCTCACCCAACAGCTCAGCTGCTCTTAAGGAATGAGAAGGTAGAGTTCAGTCAGTAGAGCCAAGTTTGGTTTATAAAGTAAGAGATCCAGTGGGGCAATGTCACTTTTATATGTTAACCTAGATGGGACTATAAAGCAAGAAGATAGATGTCTTGTGTGGCTTACAAGTGGATATTAAGGCAACCACAAAGGAGAAATCTTCAAAATGCTTTGCACAATGGCAACACAGTTGAGAACAAAAGTATTTCTACTTCCAGGACAGCTAGTGTAAAGAACACTTATTTTTAAAAAGTGTGTGGTTGTTTAAACATTTCATGTAGAATTTGAAGTGTTTGAATATTGAATACCCATGCTTACTGCTTTTATTAGCATCAAGTTAAGGGACACATGAGAAATAAACAGTTCTATGTCCCTGGTTTCAGAGCAAAGGAAGCTGAGAGGACTGTAGATTATGATGGTAAATAGAGCTTTATTTACAACATGAGAGAGGATTCACTGAAGACTAGAAGATAGCAGGACAGATGTCATATGAGAAGAAAAATCAAACATTTTGTTGTTGATGGGCTGTGCTCAAAGAAAGTACTTCAGTTCACAATCCATCTTTTTTTTTTTTTTTTTTTTTTTTTTTTTTTTTTTTTTTTTAAATCAATCTTTATTGTTCATATTATTACAAAGGTTCCTCATTTCTTCCCCCCTCCACCAGGTTCCCACGCCCCCCTCCGTCCCCCCCCCATCCCCCATTGTCCTCATCCATAGGTGCAGTTTATGTTCAGTCTCTTCTTCCCTCAATTTCCCCAATAGTAAATCCCTTTTCAGATAGTAAATCAGTTACTTAGCATTTTCTCATATCAATAATACCTCCACATGCCCAATGATACACTTCACACAAAAGACATTTCCCACTAGGTCAACCAGCCTCATCCAGGCCCCACCCAAGGCACTCACAGATCAACACCCCAGTCCTAAACTAACTCAACACATCCAGATCTAAGCCTTCATCACTTGATTCAGCAGACCCTCAAGTTCCCACGAAAGTTTCCAGCCATGTCTGAGAAGCAGCCGTGGGGCAGGGGCAGGCAAGGAGCGAGCTGTTCTGGGCCTGGCTGCTCAGGGCCTGGCCTCTGTTGCTCTGGTTCATTCCACAACCAGCTGCTCCGGGTCTGGTCACTGCCGCTCCCGACCTAGTTGCTCTGGACTTGGCTGCTGCTGCTCCGGGCCTGGCCGCTCCCAGCCTGGCAGCCGCTGCTCCGGGCCTGGCCGCACCCAACCCGCCTGCTCCCCCGGGCCTGGCCGCTCCCAGCCTGGCAGCCGCTGCTCCGGGCCTGGCCGCACCCGACCCTCCTGCTCCCCCGGGCCTGGCCGCTCCCAGCCTGGCAGCCGCTGCTCCGGGCCTGGCCGCACCAGCCCCGCCTGCTCCCCCGGGCCTGGCCGCTCCCAGCCTGGCAGCCGCTGCTCCGGGCCTGGCCGCACCAGCCCCGCCTGCTCCCCCGGGCCTGGCCGCTCCCAGCCTGGCAGCCGCTGCTCCGGGCCTGGCCGCACCAGCCCCGCCTGCTCCCCCGGGCCTGGCCGCTCCCAGCCTGGCAGCCGCTGCTCCGGGCCTGGCCGCACCAGCCCCGCCTGCTCCCCCGGGCCTGGCCGCTCCCAGCCTGGCAGCCGCTGCTCCGGGCCTGGCCGCACCAGCCCCGCCTGCTCCCCCGGGCCTGGCCGCTCCCAGCCTGGCAGCCGCTGCTCCGGGCCTGGCCGCCCCCGACCCGCCTGCTCCCCCGGGCCTGGCCGCTCCCTGCCTGGCAGCCGCTGCTCCGGGCCTGGCCGCACCCGACCCGCCTGCTCCCCCGGGCCTGGCCGCTCCCAGCCTGGCAGCCGCTGCTCCGGGCCTGGCCGCACCAGCCCCGCCTGCTCCCCCGGGCCTGGCCGCTCCCAGCCTGGCAGCCGCTGCTCCGGGCCTGGCCGCACCAGCCCCGCCTGCTCCCCCGGGCCTGGCCGCTCCCAGCCTGGCAGCCGCTGCTCCGGGCCTGGCCGCACCCGACCCGCCTGCTCCCCCGGGCCTGGCCGCTCCCAGCCTGGCAGCCGCTGCTCCGGGCCTGGCCGCACCCGACCCGCCTGCTCCCCCGGGCCTGGCCGCTCCCAGCCTGGCAGCCGCTGCTCCGGGCCTGGCCGCACCAGCCCCGCCTGCTCCCCCGGGCCTGGCCGCTCCCAGCCTGGCAGCCGCTGCTCCGGGCCTGGCCGCACCAGCCCCGCCTGCTCCCCCGGGCCTGGCCGCTCCCAGCCTGGCAGCCGCTGCTCCGGGCCTGGCCGCACCAGCCCCGCCTGCTCCCCCGGGCCTGGCCGCTCCCAGCCTGGCAGCCGCTGCTCCGGGCCTGGTCGCACCTGACCCGGCTGCTCCCCCGGGCCTGGCCGCTCCCAGCCTGGCAGCTGCTGCTCCGGGCCTGGTCGCACCTGACCCGGCTGCTCTGGGCCCGGCTGCCCCGGGCCCAGCCGCTCCGAGCCTGGCCACTCCCGACCTGGATGCTCTGGGCTTGGCTACTGCTGTTCTGGGTCTGGCTGCTCCCACCCCGGCTGCTCTGGGCCCGGCTTCTTCGGGCCCGGCCACTCCGGGTCTGGGTGTTCCTGGACTGGCCACCCTGGGCTTGGCCGCCTCCGTCTCATGCCTGGCTGCCACTGCCCCAGGTCTGGCTACTCCAGTGCTGGCTGTTGATGCTCTGGTTCTGGCTGCTGTTGTTCTGGGGCCTGGCCGTTGCTGCTCCGGGTCTGGCTGCCACTGCCTTGTGCCTGGCCACTCTAGGCCTGGCCGTCGCTGTTCCAACATTCTGTCCTTTTTTTTTCTTTTTAAAACGCATTTATGTTGCAATGTTGGCTGGTGAGTTGAGTTCTGACTTAGTCTTTGATTTTTCAAGATCTTCTTTGTATTCTTTCTTAAGTAATTTTACTATTTTTTGCTCTCACTTGATTTCTTCACAT